ATCATCTAATAGCGAGAGGTGGAGCGGCGCGCCGAAAAAAATGTCAAAAAAGCTTGCCGCTCGCTGCTTGACAACTTTTTTCGGCGCGCCGCTCCACCTCTCGCTATTAGATGATGCCCCACCGTTGCCTGCCGAGTCCGGCCTATCTACGCTCTCATTCGCTCAGACATTAAAATTAATTTCTCGATAACTACTGCGAATTTTGCAAAATAGTATAGGACTTTTCTATTCAGTTTACCCCGGTCTATCTGCCATCTACGGGACATACGGGTATTAGGACACACCCTGTATACGTAAACAACACAGGAATGTTACAAATATGTCGAATTTGTATTGATAAAACTGACGAATATTTGATGAAACTTAATGAACAATATTGCAAATAGACAATATCTTGAAACACCATTTATAATTCCATGTTCAAATAGGACATATTTTTATTGATACTTATATTTAATCAGTGTTTCATAGCAATGTCTCTTATCTGTATGAATTACTTGCAATCTTAGCTTTAAGAATGAAGAAAATCCTCTTCTATAGTATGTACATGTTGATAAAGGTATATATGTATGTATATATGTATTTGTATAGCTAGTATATATATAGGGTATATATATAAAGAAGATTAGTAATTTTTATAAAATATATTTGTTCCTGTTTTCAGATAGCTTTATCTAAACGTGTTGAGAACTTTTTAGTGCCATTAGGATGTGCGTCAGTGTGTATTATGTACATGTTTTTTTGCAATCTTCAGGGGCAGATTGTAACTGACCACTATAATCACATATTCACTGCTGCGTAAGAAATATTTTCTGGATAGAGGACATGTAGAGATTTTTCCAGTAGTTATAAATTAAATGTAAAAGTTGATTTATTACAGAAGATATTAGTTTCAAACAGTAAACTAATAAAAAACTTTATATCTTAAATTAGAAATTCATGTTTAATTTCGTAGATATAACGTACAATGGTACAAAACTCCTTTACATATGCAAAGAATGATATTATTCCTGCTGCAAATAGGAATCAAGGAATATTATTTGAATGTCGGTGGAGTATTTGATGCATCTATAGAGGGTTTCGCAATGGTAACATTTTGTGATGTTGTAATGATATGTTTTAGACTAATATTCTACAACATGAATGCAATAAAAAAAGAATGTTCATAATTACAGCTAGTCAAAGCCTCGATATCTTATTTCACTGTCATATATTCTACACAGTAATGAAACAAATAGAATTGAATAATATGGTGGGGATGTGATTAAAAACGTTCACGCTTATTTACAACAGTATTTTCGCTTAGAAAATATAGAAACTTATATTCATTGCTATAGAAAACTATTGCAGTTATTTAAATCAAAGTATTAGTATTTCAGATTTTTACAATGTATCGTAATTGGAAATTTGTATAGTTGTGTTCGAAATAAAAACAGTGTATAAACAATTTAAAATGTTTCATTGTTTTTTATTAATAATTTTCTTACACGCAATAAATAACTAACACATGAACATATTATGCTTACACAACTTTGTACTCACAATTATACATATAGATCATTAAATTTGGAGCAATAACTAATCATATTGGAGAAGTATGAAAAAGTAAAAGAATAAGTATATTGCCATTGCTCAACAATATCGCTTGATATTAGCGATTGTTATAAGCGATTATTATACAATCAGTATTTGCTAAAAATATTAATCAGGTTTTTCAGTTTGAAATTTAAGCATACCAAATATTTATCTAATCCGATCATTTTTAGTTATAGACTTACCAAGTAGGTTTAACAGCGAAATGATTATAGTTAGAGAATATATTGATGTGGCAGAGCAGCTACGCAAGTGTACTTCAGGAAAACGTGCACGAGAATGAAGGAGAGATATTGAAAAATAGAAAATGCGCATGCGTGAGATAAAACTTTGATCTCTCATAAGAGCTTTTCTTTTTAATGTAAAATAATGATGCATGGAATTTTCTCGGGTATTAAGTGGACTATCTATCTATAATAGATATATAATAGTTATAATAGATATATCTACATATAATAGATAGATAGTTCAAAGAAATACTCCTAATATGTTTACTAACACAATACATGATAGCCATTATGTAAATTGATGATATTTGCACTAAAATTTGCTCTTAACGGAGCGTATCAATCGATGGAAAAAGGAGATAGATAAGCGTAGATTATAAGCGTCTTTACACTCACTCCCGTCCCTAACTTCATACAGATATGATGCGAATAGGACATAAGTATTTAAGCATAAATAGATATTTACTACTTATTATTGGCTTATGGCCCTATCACCAAACTACTTTCACTACATTTCAATTTATTTTCATGTTTACTATACAGGCAACGTTTATTATATTTCAGGTAAGAAATCATTTTAGTAAAACTGATTTCAATAATAATTATATCATATCACATGTGAGCTATCAAACTGCAAATTTGTATTTTGTCTGAAATTGTTATTTGTTTCACTTTGTGTTTTGTAATGATATTTATATTAAATACAATGTAACTATTATTCAAATACATATAAAATCTCTTCTAAAAAAAGAGATGTTACCGACGTGAATGTCGTTAATATCGAACAGTTGATCTCTTTTCCACGATTTACTCAAAGCATGGTGTGCTTTACTTTTTTTGGATGTATGTCACGCTTTACTTTTTTGTTCATGTTTTATGTCATGTTTCTTATCAGTTAACCTTTTTAATTATTTGTGTTACACGTAAAAATTATCGTAAGAAAATAAGAAAAATATAAATAAATAGCGCGTGTGTGTCTAGCGTGCGTAGGTGTTGTCCTAGTTAAAGTAACAAATAAAATTAGAGCAAAATAATAGAATACTAAAGGGTAAAATTATAATAAAATTTTATAAAATTGTTTTTCAAACGTTTTCAGCTAACAACATTCTTAACTTTAAAATTCACTTTAGAACTCGCCACAAAGGTTTTGTCTTCTGTATCTTTCTACACTTATCTTATAATAAATTATATTGTGATCTGGTTAAACATCAAAGGTGTAAGTTAATCGCTTACGAAATATCCGTTAAACGGGGTGAAACTCTCCGTGTAGCGAACTCTTAAAACAAAACATTTGCTTTGATGAAGATTATAGTTTGATGTATACAAAAGTTGCTGGAATGATAGGTGAAGGATTTACTGATGCAGCTTCATCATGTACTTCATGAATTAAAGAATAAAAATGAAATCGCTATTATAGAAAAATATCACTGCCTAGTGAAACGTTATGCGGCTGCATTTATAAGTAAGACAACTTCATTAATTTTGAATATAATTACATTGTCAATACAATATGTAAACTATCAAGTAGAAAAAATCGAATTATCCAGATTATACACGATTTTGTACATACATAAGTATTTTACAATATTTGTCACTTATGTACATGTGCAATAAATAGCAAATGTGTTGTACAGCATACTAAAAGGAGAATTAATTCTCTATATCGCAGTAGGATTAAATTTTACTTGAAATAAAAATTGTTCATACTATAATACGAGTGGTATAGATTTATAAAATAGTTTTATACTATCACACACATATATATATAAGTAATTTAAATAACAATTTTTTATCTAACGTTTTTTAGTATTTGGAATTATTTTAATATCTGGAAGTATTATAGTTCAATTTTGGATAAATATGAACAATGTTGATTCATCGACGAACATATCTCGATCATGTCATTTTTTCTTTATGATGGAATATTTCATCGATCAGGAAAAATATTTTTATTTAATTACCTTGCACTTCAATGTAGCTGTTTGTATTGGGATTATTATAGCAATAGGATGTGCTACAGTAGCCCTTACGTGTATACAGTATAGCTGTGGAATGTTAAAAATTGCTAGGTACGAATACAGAAGTGCCTTTAATAATATCAAATGTAATGAGCAGTTTATATCTTTAATTAACATACTATAACAATATATGCGTTGGTATAAAATATGCAGAAGTGGTGCTTTAGTAGAAATCGCGGTTTTTTGTGGTAATTAACAAAACAAGTTAGGGTAATTTTGGGAGAGAGTGCCCGCCGGATGAGATAAATTTGCAATTTTCCACACAAAGCAAGGTCCACCTTACACATCTTCCCAGCTTCAGGGACGAAACTACTACCATCATTGTATGAGTTCGCATGGGTTTCATGCGAAGCAGGATCCACTTTAGACTCCATCTCTAATGAAATATTTTTGAATTTTTTCCTACAAAAACTTTAAATTTTCCCTTAAAGCTTTACGTATGTTTTTATAGTATGTTTTGTTATTTGACACAAAAATTCGTGATTCTTGCTGGAGCACCACTCCTGCATATTTATCAAAGTGTTTTAGTAGCGATGCTTTTATTTGAAAATTGTATATTTTGGTGAATTGTTATATAATACCGACATCAACTTTTACAGTTATCGTATTCAGCATGCTATAAATATTAACGTTCGACAAAATATAACACTCGAGAATAAGATTTTGATGACCGAGGGCATAATTTGTGCCGTCGATATTCATCGTCAAGCTATAAAGTTTGTATCTATCATGACAATTTTCATGCAATATTTACAATAATATTTTTTATTTTTGAAGATTGAATAAGCACTTAATGTCAATATTCAACATAATGCTGATTTTCTTCTTAATGTGTAATGTGGTTTGTCTGAGCCTCAACTTGATTCAAGTAAGTCACACTGTTAATTATACATATAATACAAAAAAACTATTCCAAAATTCTTAGCAATATTTTTTAGTAAAGATGAGAATTTATAAAATAGATATACTGATATGAATCTATAATAAATGCCACTATAAATGATATATAGAAGACAAATATAACATTATACAGGGTGTTATGTAATACCCGCCTCACCTCTTATTTATGGATAGAGCGTACTGTATACAGGGTGTTAGACTCGTTTGTAGCTAAACTAAAAATTATCACGGAGCAACGTCACTCGATCACGGAGCAACGTCACTCGATACGTGACTCCACCTCTCGCTACCGCGTCCTAGGAGATATAAACAAATAAACCATTTTGCATGCCTGCCGGGTCCGGCCTTCCGCTCCTTGTGCGTTCATTCGGCCAGACGTTTTTATCAATTACGCGATAACTATTGCTAATTTTGCAAAACGGTACATGACTTTTCATCTTAGTTTAACCCAATCTATCGTAATTTTTAGTTTGGCTACAAACGAGTCTGACACCGTGCAAATCGAATCCGACACCCTGTATATAATTATATAATATTATATTATTATTATATCGCAATATTATATATAACATTATAATAAGAAAAATAACGAGTAGAACACGTTATTTACTGTAAATAACATAGAAATGTTGCGAGTATATGATGTCTATGCAGGTTTGCAGATATGTTATTGATAAACTTAGCTAGCAATATTGCAAGTAAATGTAGTTTTGAAACATTTTCAGTTCTTTGGTAAAAAGAATATACTTTTTGCTATTTGTGCTCAACGCTACATAACTGTATTTCTTATTTTTACAAATCCTTTGTAATCGCAGTTTTAACAATAAAGAAAACTTTGCATAGTATAATATATATTGATAAAAAGTATATATTATGTTGATTAGTAATTTTCATGCAATATAATTTTATACTTTTTCAGATAGCATTATCTGAAGGAGACATTAAGAATCTCTTACCACCAATTTCATTAGCGTCAATATGCATCATGTACATGTTTGTAGGCAATCTATTGGGACAGGCTATAATTGATCACAATAATCACGTATTTATTACTGCGTAAGTAACATTCTCTCGATGGAGAACGTGTAGTTTTCCCAGTAGTTGTAAGATTAAATGTAGAAGTTGATTTATTACAAAGAAAATTAGTGTTGAGTCAACTGATAAAAAAAATTTGTATTTCAATTTAGAAATTTATGTTTAATTTCGCAGATATAACGTCCAATGGTATAGAACTCCTTTACATATACAGAGAATGATATTATTCATACTGCAAACAGGAAGAAAGGAATTTTATTTAACTATCGGTGGAGTGTTCGATGCATCTATTGAGGGTTTTGCGACGGTAACACTTTGTACAATATTTAAAAATAGTGCTCTTCATATCGTACACTAAAAAGAAATGTTTATAATTGCAGCTATTCAAGGCCTCGATATCTTATTTCACTGTCATATATTCTGTACAGTAATGAAATCAATACAAATAATACCATGGTGAGGATGTGATTAGAAAAATTTGTTTATTTACAATGTTATATCCGCTTAAAAAATATGAAGATTGATAATCTTGTATACGTAAGATAGTTAGATGTCCCACGGTTACGAAAAATTATTGAAGTTATTAATATATTATAGAATATAAAATTACTGTTAAGACATTTAGTTGGCATAGGCCATAAGGCCCTTCGCGGTTTTGCGCGCAATCTTTTCCCAGCGCAACCTGACCATGCGCGACCCCGCACCGTGAGCGTTGGTTCCGAAAGTGGCGAAGAGAGGCGCAGCGCAGAGAGATACACCAATATTCGATCGTGTGCTTCCATCGAGGAAAGTACTGTAGCGGTATAATAAAGTTGTTGAATCAAAAGACGCAAATGTCTTGACTGCCCGTTCCCGAGAATATTTAGTCCGGAGAACACGTGCAGAGAGCAAGCAAGCTCGCAGGCGCCGTAGGATCTCACCGAAAGCGCCACCATCAAAAAACTTATACAACGCGTTACTTTTTAAGGTAAAGTTTCCAACTTTGCAGATTAGTAAGTGTGTCTTATGAAAACGTAGAAAGATATGGAAGACCAAATCTTCATGAGAAGTTTCAAAATATAATTTAACGTTAAAAACATTGTTGGCTTTTGAAAAACCATTTTATTTAATTCAATTTTTTAAAATTAATTTTATATATACGAGAACTAAGAATAGATGTTGAAAAAGATTAAGTGCGCATGCGTAAAGTAAATAAAATTTCGGTCTCTTATAAAAGCTTTTTTTAACCAATAAAACAAGATGTATTGAATTTTCTTGAATGCTAAAATTTATTACAGACATGGTTCAAAGAAATATTATACTTCTAATTTATAAGTATGTATTTACCCACACAATAATATGATTGTTTCTTATGTAAATATTATTTTGTAACGATATTTATACTAAAAGTTACTCTAAAAGATAGAATATCCATCGATGAAAAAAAGTGGAGATGAACGTATTAAATGTAGATCATATAGGCGTGTTTATACTCACTGGCGTTAGAACTATGCTGCTCCTTATCGGATTATGGCCCTATCATCAATCCATCTTTCCTACTTTTTAAATTATTTTCATATCTACTATACAGGCAACGTAATTTATTATATTACATGTAAGAAATAATTTTAATACAACGGATTTCAATAATGACTGTATCATATCATGTGAGCTATCAAACTGCAACTTTGTGCTTTGTCTTACATTGTTATTTGTGTCACTTGGTGTTATGTAATGATATTTGTATTAAATTCAATGAAACTCTTATTCAAATTCATGTAAAATTCCTTCGAAAAAAAGAGATGTCACCCCCCGTGAATGTCGTTAATATCGAACAGTTGAGGCCTCTTTTCCACGATGCCAATTGGTTTTCTCAAAGCGTGGTGTGCTTCACTTTTCTTTTAGATTTATGTCACGCTTCACTTTTTTCGGTCATATTTCTTATCAATTAACCTTTTTAACTATTTGTTACGCGTAAAAATTATTGTAAGAAAATAAGAAAAAATAAATAAATCACGCGTGTGTATCTAGCGTGCGTAGGTTGTGTCCTAGTTAAAGTAAAAAATTAAATTAGAGCAAAATACAACATAATTAAGGTAAAATAATAGTAAAATTATAATAAAATTTTCTTCCAAACTTTTTCAGCTAACAACATTCTTAACGTTAAATCGCTCTTTAGAACTCGCCACAAAAGTTTTGTCTTCTGTATCTTTCTACGCTTGTCTTATAATGCATTATATTGTGCTCTGGTTAAACATCAAAGATGTAAGTTGATCGCTTACGAAATATCCGTTAAACGGGGTAAAACTCTCCGTCTAGCGAACTTTTAAATCAAAACATTTACTTTGATAAAGATTATGATTTGATACATATAAAAGTTGCTGGAATGATAGGTGAAGGATATACTGATGCAGCTTCAGCAAGTACTTCATGACTTAAAGAATAAAACTGAAATCGCTATAATAGAAAAATATGACTGCCTAGTGAAACGTTATACGGTTACATTTATAAGTAAGACAACTTTATTAATTTTGAATATAATTACACTGTCAATACAATATGTAAACTATCAAGTAGAAAAAATTGATTTATCCAGATTATACACGATTTTGTACATACATAAGTCATTTTACAATATTTGTCACTCATGTACATTTGCAATAAATAGCAAATGTGTTATAAAGCATATTAAAAAGAGAATTAACTCTCTGTATCGCAGTAGGATTCAATTTTACTTGAATTAAGAAATGTTTATGCTGTAATAACAATTTTTTATCTAATGTTTTTAGTATTGGGAATTCTTTGTATATTTGGAAGTACTATATTTCAATTGTGGATAAATATGAACAATGTTGATTTATCGACGAACAAATCTCGATCATGTCATTTTCTCTTTATGGTGGAGTATTTCATCGATCAGGAAAAATATTTTTATTTAATTTTCTTGCATATCAATGCAGCTATTTGCATTGGGATTATTGTATTAATAGGATGTAGTTCAATATGCCTTGCATGTCTACTATATAGCTGTGGAATGTTTAAAATTGCTAGGTACGAATACAGAAGTGACTTTAAATAATATCAAATATAATTAGCAGTTTATATCTTTAATTAACATACTATAGCGTTGGTATAAAATATGCAGAAGCGGTGTTTTAGTAGGAATCGCGTTTTTTTGTGGTAATTAACAAAACAAGTTAGGGTAGTTTTGGGAGATATTGCCCGCAGGATAAGATAAATTTGTAATTTTCCAAGCAAAGCAAGGTCCACTTTACACATCTTTCCTGTATTAGGGACGGAACTACTACCATCGTTGTATGAGTTCGCACAGGTTTCATGCGAAGCGGGATCCACTTTATGCTCCATTCACAATAAAATATTTTTGAATTTTTCCCTACAAAAACGTTAAATTTTACCTTAAAACCTTACGTATGTTTTTATAGTTTGTTTTGTTATTTGATATAAAAATTCGCGATTCCTACTGGAGTATTACTCCTGCATATTTTTCACAGCGTTTTAGTAGCGATGCTTTTATTTGAAAATTGTATATTTTGGTGAATTGTTATATAATACCGACATCAACTTTTACAGTTATCGTATTCAGCATGCTATAAATATTAACGTTCGACAAAATATAACACTCGAGAATAAGATTTTGATGACCGAGGGCATAATTTGTGCCGTCGACATTCATCGGCGAGCTATAAAGTTTGTATCTACGATGAGAATTTTCATGCAATATTCACAATAATATTTTTTATTTTTGAAGATTGAACAAGCACTTAGTGTCACTATTGAACATGACGTTGAGTATATTAATGTGTGGTGTGGTTTGTCTTAGCCTCAACTTGCTTCAAGTAAGTCACACTGTTAATTGTACATATGATGTATGAAAACTGTCCCAAAATTCTTAGCAATATTTTTTAGGAAAACTATAAATGATATTTAGAAGAAAACATAACATTATATATAGGGTGTATTAAAATCACCAGATATCCCTTTAATCGTAAATTCTTTAGAAAATTTCAAGACAAAAATTCTAATACAAAAATGTGGAGGCTATAATAGTTTTTAAATAATAAACGACTATATTTCACAAATAATAGGCCCGAGATTTGACGCGCTCAGTTACGGCGACGTAACAAGTGATAAAAATGTTCCTACGAATGTCGCCCTTTTTATCATATATACAGGGTGTCTGATGCAAAAGTAGCAATTTTGGAAATAGCGGTAGATTGGGTTAAACTAAGGAGAAATATCATGTACCGAGGTACAAAGTAACAATAGTTATCAACATATAAATTTATACGG